GAAATTAGCTTGAAATGCTGGTTACCGCACGGCTATTCAACATTGGTAAACCGGATGAATAAACTCACATACAAAATTAGTAATTAAAACTAATTCTTTGTTCTCTAATCATTTTCATGTCAATCATGTAGTTGTTTTATTTGTATGTTTGTGTGTGAATTAACAAGAGCATTATGATGAATCAATCGTCTGTACTTAGCAAACATCATTCAATATGTCTATTTTTATCTCTGTGCAAAATTTCGGCTTAGTAATTAATAACATGTATGTGGGTGGTTTTGTCAAATATTCGTTGAAAAAGTTATGCACGGAATAAGAGACTTCATGAAAAAAAAAGAGACAATAGCAAAATACATTTAATTGCAAGGTCAAGGACAATGTCTACAGTTACCATACATATATGTGTGTGCATTCTTTTCTTGTCAATTCTAACTTTCTCACATAAATATGTGTATATCAAGGTTTATACATATGTATATACATATCCTCACGGATTCCGAAAGCTTGGTATTTGCTAGCTTGCATCATTTGTGGCAAAGGCGAGATATTTGTTTGTCAAACAGAGAGTGTGTATACTGCACGACAATCCGCTCTCCTATAGTCTATGGTTGTGTAACACGATCTGTGAAAGAAGACACACATAGACTGTAGATCACGGGTGCCTTCGAAGAATTCATTACGTTTCATGGAATACCCGAGTGTGGAGTATTGAGGTTATACCTCTTGAAGCCAATCACTAGTGAGCATATACTAACATATAAATGTGAATTAAGTTGGTACTTTATGATTCACTTCATACACATACTGGATTACATGATATTTATTTGAACATATAAATATTGATACATAGGGACACGGAATACACACAAGTCATTTGATTTTGTGTGTGGGCCGTGATATTATCCGGGTGTCCAGACCGATAACATATTACGCAAATATACATACAAAAATACCAAACTTTTTAATGAGTAAACAGATACAATAGAAGGGGATTTTGATTAACAGTAGAATTTAAGACTCATCAGTTGAATGTATTATTCATCTACTCATAAAAAATTGGGACAAATAATGTTTATCATTAGTCGTGTCTTCGTGACACCATTTTTCATTGCCGAATATACTTGGTATATGGTAATCACTTCTTTTTCTTACAAATGATAAATGTACAAACTACCTTAGTGCTATTCTTGATTGTTTGTATAATTACATTCTTAATAGATTATAAAAGCGTAAATACATGCGATTATTAGTATTTATTTATTTATTTGAACATTTGGATATTGGTACAAGGGAACACCAGATACATATGCGCCGCACAAATCTCATTTGGTTTGTGTGAGGGCTGTGATACTGCCCGAGTGCCCAAACCAAAGCAGGCGGTTTCCTTAGGGGGCCACACCCGGAGCCTTTGGCCTAAAGGTCTGATCCACAAGGCAGTGGATGCAGTTCCGTGGTAGCCGATGACCAACAACTGGTTCATAGGCCGTTTGTTCCTTCAGGTTACTGTAGTCCATATGCACCATTGTTTTGGAATAATCGTTTTCCAACTCCTCTAGGTGGACTCTCCATATCCACCAACCCATTTAAAGCCGGTGCCGGACATTCACTATTCATCCTCTCAATTTCGTAAACAAAAGTAATGCCGCGAGAAGGCAATGAGTAGGACTTCCCTGGCAGAGGCTATATACGCGTGGCCATGTGAGAGCATTTCGTGAGGCAGGGCTGACTCTCCCGACTCTCAGCCGTACTAGGTCATGCAATCAATAGACATAATTAGTTGATCTAAACTAATCTGATACAAAGACTTCTTTAATGATAATTCCAAATTTCGAATCTATCACATCCTTGAATTATTTTACCACACAGTCCCTGATTTGCATTAACCAACCTAATTACAATATTATTTATCATGTATACAAATTACCTTAAACAAATGACGTCATCAACTTTTGACAAATCCCTTCCCATCTCATCGAGTACTTTTACTCTTTCACAAGTTGAAATCATGAGCCAATTGAAGCTAGACCACCATGGAAAACCTGGAAGCACTGGACGGCCGTTTCGTCCTAGTATGGGACTCCTCAGCAGTGCGCATCCACGAACCCGCCCCCTGCGGGATTCCAACCCAGGACCTACTGGCTTCGCGCGCGAGCACTTAACCATTAGACCTTTTTGTTTTCAATCGGTCTACTTTTGGACAGATAAAAGTTTTATCAATTGATGTACATTTCACGATAAGTTTGTATCAATGTCTGTTTGTTTGTGTGTGTTGTATCTGTGTGTAAATTTTAATTATTTCAATAAAATCTAATAGACTTCTAGTCCACATTATTATTTTTATTATTGTATGTATTCGTATGTATCTATGCCAATTTATGTGCAGAAATCTATAGACACATAAACACACACACACACTTATACACCTCTGTAACTTATTGATTGATTTACATTGTAAAAATTTTTTACAAACAACTCATTTATTTTTTTGTTGTTGTTGGTGTTGGTGATATACTAGTAATACCTGTAAAGATTCGGAATAAAAGGGCATAAACAAGATAAATTATTCATTGTTAGAAATTAAGTCAATGAAACATTATTATATCTAATATAGGGGTTGTGAAGATTATTAAGTTTTTGATTGAGATCATGAACCGATTAATGTTAGACCATCATTGAAAACCTGGAAGCACTGGATGGCCGTTTCATCCTATTGTAGAACTCTCCTCAGTAGTGCGCATCCACGATCCCGCTCGCGAGATTCGAACCCTGGGCCTTCGTTCTCGCGCGATCGGGATCGTGGATGCGCACTGCTGAGGAGAGTTCCACAATAGGATGAAACGGCCGTCCAGTGCTTCCGGGTTTCCAAAGGTGATCTAACATCAATCGGTTCATGATCTCAATTGTCATATCTACTTGATAATCTTAATAGAATCATCATTATCACAAGAAAAATACAATAGTACTACTAACATTAATAATAATAATAATAATAATAGTACAATGTTTAGGTAACAGTCTGTCTGTGTGCGTATGTGTCCAAACAAAATTATGTTTAACTGAGAAAAAAAAGAATCATGAGTATTTACTTCTGAATAGTAGTCGTACACTAGAACAAAACATCTATCCAATATCTTTAGATTTCCAATGATGGTCTAGCGAATATCATTTGTCGATTTCAACGATGACAAAAATAATGTTCATATAAGATTTTTCTTCAATTTGTCTAAAATTAGAATAGTTAAACATTGTTGAAATTGTTTTACTTACAATAGTAAGTAAAACTATCACACAGTAAGCCATTACATGTTGTTACATGTATTACAGTTTATATTGATATACAACTTACAGTTGAAAAATGGACAATTTTTTTTGAAGTCAATAATCAGTTGGATATGTGATTGAAGTGCAGTTATTCACTATCAATTGTTATATTCCAGTGAAGATTAAATTATGGTTAACTTCCGAGGACTATTAATGGACTAATATTATCTATATATTCTTATGGTATAACTATTGAGCAATTAGATTATGTATATTTATATCTCCCCCTTATTATAAGCTTTATTTTGACCTATAATTTATTATTGTACGAATTACGGTTCTTAGGCTATGTTCAGTTTATTGACTACTACCTCCCACGCTCACAGCCACATTTGGCCAAATCTTGTACAAATGTTATTTTCTATTTTATGGTACGTTGTGGCCTGTCTGGTTGATATATTATAAACCGAGTATGTTTGAAATAAAAGATTCGATTCATATTGCAGAAACTGGTATTGTGTTCTGGACCTAAGTGGACGGGTTGGGAGGACATAGGACCAATAAGGACGCTAGACTGCTCATATCGGTTGGACGTCGTTGATTTGGCATAGTGCTAAGATTGTATAGGTCGTATTCTGATTGGTGGACAAATTAATTAAGCTCGACACGAGTCTCGGAAATCCTTTGCTCCATCCATTTTGGGGTTATGGACGTACATTAACAAATTGTCTCATATTAGGATGAAAGAGATGTCCAGTATTTCTTCATTCTCAATGGTTGTCTAACTAAAATCAATCCTTGATGCAAATTATAAAATGAATTATATTCTTCATTTTGCAATATATATTCATGTCATGGCTTATGGCGCTGTCAATTATCACATGACAGAATCTCCAATCAGAACACCGGCTTATATGACCTTGTCCCTGTGCTGAACCACTGATACACCAACCAGCACTAACAACCTTGTATCAACTCGTAGTCTTTAGTGGTCCTCTGTATGTATAGTAGCTTCTCTCCTAATCCAGTTCGTTCAGTCCAGAACACGAATATCAGCCTCCACTGTGTGATTTGTATATTTCAGACATACGTGGTTTATGTACAAGCAGGCCAGACCACCTCATACCATAAAATAAAAAATAAGAATTATTCAAGATCAAGCCAAAAGTGGGAATAAATTGAGGATGGTAAATCGTATAACAGTAGCCAATTGGTCAAATGAAAGCTTATGATAAAAGGAATATGAATATAGATATAATCTAGTTACTTAATAATTATCCAATAAGAATATATATGTAATAATTGTCCATAAATAATCCCTAGTAGTTACCACTCATTTATTCTTCGTTCGGATATAACAATTCAGTACTGATTTTCTGAACTTGAAAGTCCTAGATAACTAATCAAGTGCTATAATGTTGTGTACTTGATTTTACATAGACAGATTTCTTGCCTGAACAATTGTTGTCAAATAGATATTGTCATATTCTCTGTTTATGTTGGTTGACCCATACGGGGTTAAACCTTTTCATCAACATTTAATGGTATTTCTTTATCGCCTACTATTCATCTTGATAGTTTACTCTTCGAATTACGCTTACAGATAACAATAATTTATATCAGTTTTATGTATTCATAATACAGATCCTTGTTAATTTTCTATGACCAATTGACTAAGAAATACACTATTGAAAATATTATCGTATATGTATATACTTAAATTTTCTTTTTTTACACAGGTTGATCTCAATGAACATACATCAGGTGTACATATAATCAACAAGGATAAGAGTAACTCCCTAGTATCTGATACTGTACAACTTTTACAAGAAGTAAGTATTGTTATGATTAAAATTAAATTCTTAGATGATTATCATTGATATTATTATTACTTACTTACTTACGCCTGTTACTCCTCGTGAAGGAGCATAGGCCGCTCACCAGCATTCTCCATCCAACCCTGTTTTGGGCAATCCGTTCTAGCTCCTTCCAGTTGTTATTCATCCTTTTCATATCTGCTTTTATTTCCCGACGTTATGTGTTCTTCGGCCTTCCTCTTTTCCACCTTCCCTCAGGATTCCAAGTTAGGGCTTGTCTCGTGATGCAGTTTGACGATTTGCGTAATGTATGTCCTATCCATTTCCATCGTCTTTTCTTAATTTCTTCTTCAACTGTAAGCTGGTTTGTTCTCTCCCACAAAAGGCTGTTGCTGATGGTATCCGGCCAATGGATGTCGAGTATCTTGCGTAGACAGCTATTTATAAATACTTGTACTTTCTTGATGATGGCTGTTGTAGTTCTCCAAGTTTCAGCTCCGTACAGTAGAACTGTCTTGACATTCGTATTGAAGATTCTCACTTTGATATTGGTTGAAAGTTGTTTTGAGTTCCATATGTTCTTCAAGTGAACGAATGCGGCCCTTGCTTTGCCAATCCTCACCTTTACGTCTGCATCTGAGCCTCCTTGTTCATCGATGATGCTTCCTAGGTATGTGAAGGACTCTACATCTTCCAGAGTTTCGCCATCAACAGTGATTGGATTGCTGTTTTCCGTTTTGAATTTGAGGACCTTGGTTTTCCCTTTGTGTATGCTGAGGCCTACTGATGCAGAGACTGCTGCTACACTGGCTGTCTTCATCTGCATCTGTTCGTGTGTACGTGATAGGAGGGCTAGGTCATCTACGAAGTCCAAATCGTCTAATTGATTCTGAGCTGTCCATTGTATTCCGCGTTTTCCCTCAGACGTCGAGATCTTCATAATCCAGTCAACCACCAGAAGAAAAAGGAAGGGGGAGAGTAGACAGCCTTGTCTGACTGCGGTCCTTACTTTGAATGCATCTGTCAGCTGTCCTCCATGCACGACCTTGCACTGTAGTCCGTCATATGAGTTCCGGATAATATTGACAATCTTCTCAGGAACTCCGAAGTGTCGAAGAAGTTTCCATAACGTCCTCCTATCTGCACTGTCAAATGCCTTTTCATACTCAATGAAGTTGATGTACAGTGATGAGTTCCACTCGACTGATTGTTCAACGATGATCCGTAGTGTCGCAATTTGGTCTGTGCACGACCGGTCCTTACGGAATCCAGCTTGTTGATCTCGAAGTTGGGCGTCTATTGCATCTTTCATCCGGTTCAGCAAAACTCTGTTAAAGACTTTTCCTGGTACTGACAGTAGTGTGATGCCCCTGTAGTGTTCACATTTGCTCAGGTCTCCTTTCTTTGGAATCTTGATGAGGTGTCCTTCTTTCCAGTCCATCGGCACTTGTTCCTCCTCCCAAATCTTTTTGAATAGAAGATAAAGCATGCTTGTGGTTGCTTCGATGTCTGACTTCAGTGCTTCAACTGGCATGTTGTCGGGTCGTGCTGCATTCCAGCTCTTGATTTGTCTGACGGCCATTCTGATTTCTTCCGTCGTTGATGGATTGACATCTATAGGAAGATCTGTGTGCGCTACTTCGACGTCCGGTGGATTCATTGGAGCCGGCCTATTCAGGAGTTCCTCGAAGTACTCTACCCATCTGTTCTGCTGTTGTTGAATTTCAGTGATTGGCCTGCCTTCTTTGTCTTTGACCGGTCTCTCTGGCTTACTGTATTTCCCTGATAGTTTCTTCGTTGTATCGTAAAGCTGTTTCATATTTCCTTCTCTAGCAGCTTTTTCTGCCGTCGTTGCTAGTTCTTCCACGTATTTCTTCTTGTCGGCTCTAATGCTCTTCTTCACTTGCTTGTTTGCTTCTATGTATTCAGCATGTGCTTGGACTTTCTCTGCTCGTGTTCGGCTGTTGTTAATTGCTGTCTTCTTGTCCTTCCTTTCTTTGATCTTGTCCAGTGTTTCTATAGAGATCCATTCCTTATGATGGTGCTTCTTTAGACCCAGAACCTCTTGACACATTGAAGTTAATGCTTCCTTGATACTTTTCCAGTTGTCCTCCATAGTAGTTTCTTCTTCCTTCAGTAGATTCTGTAAAACTTGGAACCTGTTGTTGAGAGCTATCTTGAATTCATAGAGTTTGACAGTATCTCGAAGGAAGGCTGTAGTAAACCTTTGTAGTGCTGTTTGTCCAGTTGTCCAGTTCTTCTTTAGCTTCAGTTTTAAATTGGCTACAACTTGATGGTGATCTGAAGCTATGTCAGCTCCTCTCCTATTTCTCACATCTTCCATTGTCCTTCGGAATTTTTTATTCATGCAGATGTGATCTATATGGTTCTTTGTAGTGTGGTCCGGTGAGATCCATGTAGCTTTGTGTATACGTTTGTGTGGAAATATTGTGCGTCCTATGACCAATTTGTTGAATGCACACAGATTTGCAAATCTTTCTCCATTTTCTTTTCTCTCACCCAGTCCATGTCGTCCCATAATATCTTCATATCCGGTGTTGTTTATTCCGACTTTGGCATTTAGATCTCCCATCAGAATGGTGTGGTCCTTCCTTGGGCATTTCTCAATGATTGACTGTAGCCGCTCGTAGAACTGATCTTTAATGTCGTCGTTGCTATCATTGGTGGGTGCATAATATTGAATAATATTCATTGTGATCTTCTCCTTCTTTGTTTTGAATGATGTTTTGATGATTCTGGATCCGTGAGATTCCCATCCTAAAATTGCATTTCGTGCTACTTTGGACAGCATAAGAGCGACTCCCTGAGTGTGTGGAGCATTGTCCTCTTCGTGACCAGAGTATAGTAGCATCTCTCCCGTAGCTAGCCTTTTCTGTCCAGATTGGGTCCAGTGGGTTTCGTTGATTCCCAGTACTGCCAAGCTGTATCTCCTCATTTCCGTTGCTATTAGACTGGTCTTCCCGGTCTCCCACATTGTTCGGACGTTCCATGTACCTATAAAATTTTTTGCTCTGGTTGTTAGAAGGGGCATCGGCCTCGTGGCTTCCGAAGGAACTCGGCTTTCACCATGAAGCTTCATAATTCTTCCAAATGAAGACCTAACTTTCAGGGCAGAGTTTAAATGGTTTGAATAATTTTTTCTGGTAAGCGTTTTTTTAGCGAGTTAGTTTTCTACGAGATGGGGACGCTAACCCCATGCCCAACCCTCCTCCTTTACCAGGGCTTGGGACCGGCAATAACTCTGGAAGAGCTACAGGCGGAGTTTTTATTATTATTACTCATGGTTATAGTGTCAATATAAATAAATCATTTTATGTTGAATCCAGTACGAGTCTCAGTCAATCGATCACATCATTGAGCATGATATGTATATAGATCGGTTCAAATTCTCGTACCCCATTATCGCTGTTTAAATCTTAGAATAGTAGAGGTAGTAATAGTATCAGCGGAAATAAGAAAAATTAGGCATCGAAGATATGGCTCTAAAACAAAATATAAATTATTGAAACAAAATTAAGAATTTAAAAGCTCAGAATTCAAAGGAAGACAATGAATGGATTCACCTGCACGATTCCAGACCAATTCGAGCCATATCATTCAAAGCCTCTAACCATTGATTACGATAATCATGCAGACTCCAACTAGGTGGTCTACATCTATCAACATGGTTCAGTCCAGTTTTCAATAACATCGTTGACTTCGACTGACAACTAGCTAATAAAAATGTGTCATGGTAATGAAGCATTTCCTAATAAAAATGCGATTAAATTATGAGTAATAAAAAGTTTAGACATGAATAATGAAACTTTTCATGAGAGTTATTTCTTACAGTATACAAATAAATGGATATAAGTGTGTTTAGTACTTACATAAAGTTGGGCACCACCTCAAGAACTTTCAATCTACTTTACAACACACGAGAATTTCAATTTCTAGTATTTTCACCTAAAAAAAAATCAATAAATTTTACATTATTATTCTAAGAAGTGTTCAAAGTTGTCTCAATTCTATTTAGCTTCATGATGTTTGTTTTTATTGTCTAAAAAGCAAAATATTAGCTTTCGACGAGCTATTCATCATTGTATTTTAAATAACCAATAACCACTGTCTTTATTCTGGTTGATTGATTGGTCAGGATCATCCATATAAATTTACTACTTCTATACAATCAGTGCAAAAACGTAAGATTATCTAATCAGTTAGAAAGTTAAAGGAAATTTAAACCTACCCATACGAATCATTAAGTAGAAATAAGATAAAATAAATCAATGAAAGTGTTAGTTACATTTATAATAAGCGTACATTTTTGTTAGTTGGTAGTTAAACAAAATAATAACTAATCTGAGATGAAACTAAGATTTAAGTGATAAACTAAAATTGATTGAGATCTTGAACCGACTGATGTTAGACCGCCATTGAAAACCTAGAAGCTCTGGACGACCGTTTCATCCTATTGCGGGACTCTTCAGCAGTGCTCATCCACGATCCTGCTCGCGGGATTCGAACCCAGGGCCTTCAGTCTTTCGTGCGAACGCTTAACCTAGACCACTGAGCTGGCCGGCATCCAACGGTATTAATTTCTAACCTCAACCAATCCACAAAATTGCTCGACCATTTTCCATTATACTGAAGTAGATACCTGTGCCTACCCAACACTGATTAGCTCAACTGGTCACGTCTTCTCACTAGAACTCCGAGAAATCTCTCACGAAGTTAGTCGGATCCCGCGAGCGGGATTGTGGATGCGCACTGCTGAGGAGTCCCACAATAGGACGAAACGGTCGTCCAGTGCTTCCACGTTTTCAAAGGTGGTCTAACATCAATCGTTTCATGATCTCAATCAATAACTTAACAATCTCCACAACCCTACACTGATAAACTACAATGTCATTTGCTGATGCATTCTTATCGTTCAAGACTAAGAGATTATAACCAAGGGGTTGTGATGAGTCAATAGTTCCTAGTCCTGTACATTGTTCTTTTTATTTTACAATGCAATAACATAAACTGACGTCCTCTTAAGCAACTTCACAACTAGTTATCTTTTATAAAGATCTTTCATATGATCGAATGATCTTGTAATGATTCATTTATTAAAGTTTAAATGTTAATTCTTCTGATGAATCAACATCAATTTGTGAATATCTTCTTAAAAAAGAAACAACAACTGTGAATATTTTGTATCATGGGTTCATGATTAAACTATGAAATCGTAATTGCTAGTGCGATCAAGGTTGGTTTGCTCCCGAATGCCCTAGTATGGCCGAGGGTAGTGAGAGTCCCCTCTCCCTCTTCAAATACTGTCACATGGCCATGCGTATACAGTCACTGCCAGGAAAGTCCTACTCATTGCCTTCTCGCACAACGAGTGTTGTTTACGAAATTCAGAGGACGAATAGCAAATGTCCGGCGCTTTAACTGGGTTGGTGGATCTAGAGGATCCATCTAGGGGAGTTGAAAAGTCAGTCAGTCAGTCAGCTACAACGTAGGACCAGGCACATATGTGCATCGGTTCAGGTTGCCATACCTCATTAGCACAACAAGATGAACAGCGGATTCATAGGAGTGGTTAGGTCAAAGGTTGCAATAAGGATATAGTATAGGAAGAAAGAATTAGTTCGTAGACAGAAAGAATGAAGTGATTTTAGTCTCTTAGTTTAAGGAAAGACAGGGAGTGTATACACCGACGCCATTGTGATCGATTCTGAGCCATGTCACCAAGAGTCTCCAACCATTGGTTACGAAAGTCACGCGGACCCCAACCAAGTAGTCTGCATCTACCAACATGGCTTAGACTAGAAGTTAGTGACTCCAAGCACTGATGCCACGTTTTGGTTTGGCCGCCCCTAACTTTCTTCCAACCGTCCCGAACGCCGGTTAGCATTGCACGTCGTGGTAATCGGTGTTCAGGCATACGTAACACGTGGCCCAACCATCTCAGTCGATGGAGATTCATAACCTCATCAACTGATTTACCATCATTCCCTAATACCCTGCGTCTAACCTCACTATTACTTACCCGGTTATCCCAGCAGATGCCAGCAATATTTCTAAGGCATCTGTGGTCAAATACTAGTAGCTTACGGGTGTCTTCTACTCTTAAAGGCCATGTTTCGCTGCCGTAAATTAAAACAACGAACTGCAGCGCAGTATACTCGTCCTTTTATTGATAGACGGATATCTCGCCTTCCAAACTAATGGTGAACATGGGCTTCAGGATCATGAAGAAACAAATGGTGTATGAACCAATTATTGGTCACCGGCTACCATGGGACTGCATCTCCCAACGTTGCTCCACTGTCATGTGGATCAGACCTTTAAGTCGAAGGTTCTGCGCGTGGCCCCCTAAGGAAACCACCTGTTTTGTTCTGGGCACCCGGGTAGTATCACAGCCCACACACAAATGAAGTGACTTGTGTGGTGCATATCTATTCGGTTCCTCTTTGTACCAATATTTATGTGTTCAAATAAAATAAATAAAAAAAATACCCTCAAGTATTATAGTATTTTTAACGTATCTATGCGAAAAACGTTCTACTCATCACATATACTTTGTATATCCTATGTTAGTGTCTCAAACCAAGGCTAATTAAATAATCATCAATGTTCGTAAATTAAATCTTCTAGTTCAAGCCGTGAGAAGTGTTCATTTGAGAACCCTACTTTTGTAGATTGATATACCTTGTAGTTGTCATAATCTCTGATCTAATTAATACAATCTCTGTATATTGTTTTTATGTACATTTATCCAGTAAAGGTTTAAATGAATATAAAAGCTGGAATGTTTGATTTGTAAGATAATCATTATGTAATATACCATACATTAATAAAAATGAATTACATAATCAATTGTCAAGTATTAACTCAATTATCAGTACAAACGTCAGTCATTTAATCATGTCTCAAACATCAATAACAATAAGTTTATCATTACTCTGTTATTCATTAGGGTTTTTATTTACACAGATGTTAATTCTTTTTTTTCTCTTCATTTCAACACTTTTCTTTCTTCAAGCGTTTAATACCAGGACCACCATTTGCTTTTGGTGCTATTCTAGTTCTGTTAGCAATTCTAGTAGCTATTTTTATACCGGAAAAGCAGACATCACCTGAATTGAGTCATTCGAAAATTATCACTGATACATATGAATCAACACATGGTGCCAATATTTATGGCGGTGAAACTCGACTAAGGCGTAGTTCACCATCAGGTCAATCTCATAAAACTACAGCGGATTTTGATCAATTCACATGTGGAATGGGTGCACCTAACACTGGTGACAGTGACAAATCGAAATTGATAATGAGTACTGTTGAAATGTCTAAGTATAATCTAAAAAGTGGCATTTCACACAGTAATTCAATCGATAACAGTGGTATTTGGAATCGTTTAATGACTGGTCTTACAGATTTTCGTAATCCAGTTTATATAAAACAACGACCGAATCGTGTTTATCGTCAATCAAAAACTCGTTTTAGTACGGCAGGTATTGTAGAACCATTTCGTCGATTATTTATTCGAAAAACTTATGATGGAAATATTGGTAGTTGTGGTGTTAGCGGTAGTGGTGGTGGTGGATTTCTTGATCATGAAGCACGTCTTCATTATTCCAGACTGCCCTTTACTGTTATCTCATCATCAGATAATAGTAGTCCAAAATATTTAGACGATATATCAAAGAATGATTTACTATTTTCTAATCCTTTATTATTAAATCCTGGTGAATCCGAGGAAGCAGCTGATCTCAGTAATTATCGTGCACATCATTTCCGACGTATGTTTATTGCTCCTAATACAGCAACTACTACTCCTTTTATTAATAATAATAATAATAAAAGTGCTATTACTACTTCTTCATCTGAATTTCATCCATCACAAAACTATAATCCTACTAGCTCATTGTTAATCACTTCTAATGAAACTGGTCAATTAAATCCATTGGGAGAGAATGAAGAAGATACATTTATTAAATATTGCAATTCGTCCATATCACCTATAATTAGTCCTACAGGTAGGAAAATAATGAAACAAAAGTTTTTTACAACAAATTCTTATAAAGAATCAATTCATGATACATGATGGTGATGATGATGATAATGTCCGCTTTACCTTCTATTTGATCTAGTAAGTTCCATATTGAACTGTGTGTGTAAATTGTATTTATTGTATAACGATTCTCTCATCAATTTCCTATTCTTAACAGTATTACCGGACATCTTTCTTTAAGCTCTACAATTGAGATGGTTGAAAAATGTGTTATATATATCCAACTCTTATCCACCTCGATGCGCGTTATTAGCTAGCTGGTGTTAGGATTAGGTGGAAAGACAATTAGAGGCTCGGACTAAAACATGGGATCAATCTATAAGGTCATTGATTATTGATCAGACCTATGTTTGTAGATGTGGACTACTCGGTTAAAGTCCAAAAGATAACCACGCTTACTGGTAACAATCGTGACCAATGGTTAGAGACGGGTGATAATAACTTGAAATCAACTACAACATTCACTTTTTATTTTCTTTTACATCATTTCTTCATATATACCTTTTCATTTCGTTTTCTAAAACTATGTTCTCAATTTTTGGTACTTCTCTCTATCACTGCTACTACATTAACTCCACTTCTTCACTATTCATCTTGTTATTTTCTCATCGTCGTGCTCATGTAGCATAAATACCTGAATTGATGCACACTTGTCTCAGAATTTACGTTTATTACTCAATGAATTTGATCATTCAGGATCGTATCTCCCAGTCATTGTAGGCTAGATTAGCTCAAATGGTGTTACAGTTGTGTAGGTGGTTTTGCTTCGTTGTCTCCCATATCATGGGAAGATTATTCTTGTCTAGGTACCTGTAAAGGAAACTGGGTTATGAGTGATCTCGACAATCCAGGAGTACAATTGCTGAGTCCACAAAATAACATCGTGAGACCGATCACATATAGGCTTTTCGTGAGCGACTTTTCATGAATTACCGCCAATCACATGTAGTTATCATTTGAAGATTTCTGATTAGCTCACTGTATTTCATAAGAGAAGTGTTTGCACCACGTCACTGTGTACGTAATTTCCTACTACCATCCAACGTCAAACCGTACACTATGTAGACTTAATCTTTCCTATTAACATTTCGATAGTGTCCATATGTATATTCAACTTTAACTTATTTAATGCAATAAAACATTGAGTATTATGTCTCTTATTTATCATTGAATAGTCTAAATGGTAGTTTTATTTCTTCATTACAAAATGATGTTAACCAGTTCTAGCTTATAACACAGTAATAACCTTCAATCATACTCTATTTGTATCAGGAGTTTTGTGGAGATTGTAGTAATTTCAACAGTTGAGATCATGAGTCAATTGAAGCTAGACTACCATGGAAAACCTGGAAGCACTTGACGGCCGTTTCGTCCTATTGTGGGACTCCTCAGCAGTGCGCATCCACGACCTCGCCTCGCGGGATTCGAACCCAGGGCCTATTTCAGATTTTCGTATTTCGTTCTGTATAAAGTATCTTAAGATGATTAAGTTGAAATTCAATGATTTTACATAATTCCTAACTGTAATCACCTCGCAATATTTATGTCATATCTATAAAAAATGAATTACAAATTGAACTGTTTCTACAAATCCAATACTATAAAATTAATTCAACTCATTCTCTTAAATACAAGATTTTTTCTTTGTTTGATGGAGCTTTATTCTCCGAGTTGGATGGTTTGGTTGTAGAGCTTTCATCGTTGTTCTGAATGACCATGTAGCTCAGAGTACAGAACTCCATCGAAACGATCCACCTGAGCTACAAATCTTCCCCATCATCACAAGATGTGTTCACCCAACTTTAAGGCATAATTTAGAAATAGCATTATTCTAATCTATAATACACTAATATGAGATTGTGTAAACTGCATTCAAACTATATATACCTTACATAGTTTGTGAATTATACTTCAAATAATTATTTCTATACATCCACTATAAGTAGGATGGATGAATTAAGGTTAGCAGTAGGTAGGATACAAAACGTACTTTTCATTTTATTTGGGACTCGTCAGTTGCAATCTACGTGGAACTCGGTATAAATGTTCACATTAGAACTCGAGCCCAGTGCTTTTCACTTTCAATCATAACTTATCGTTATGTAAGCAGGCCTAATATTGGACAGACCACAGTGAACCAACGTGCCCAACGGTTACCCTCAAACGTTTTAAATAATAAACCTGTAAGACGTAACTTTTCTCAACACTTTCCCATTGGGCAAGATTAGACTACTAGGTTACTCACTATCAACCCAACCCCAACTAGCAGGTGCTTGTCTTAACTGTCCGTCTAGTCAAGTTCAACAAATTAATCCACTTTATCAAAATAATGATTTTTTGGCCTTCGGAAATCCCTTGTCTCACTAGCACTACAGTTTGTTCAAGCGAAAGCCCATGTGATCAGTCAAACATAATAAACCACAGTCTATGCAAATCCAAAATGCACAACATCAATAGGGAAGCTCTCGGTTTTTTAACTCCCTTTTTAAACTTATTACTTATCAATGCACGTTCACTTCTGAACAAAATTTCAGCCTTGAGAACATTATCTTTTCTAGCCAAGCCTTTCATACTTATCACTGAAACATCGTGCTCTCAAACAGTATATGATTCAGAATTAAATATCCAGAACTATCGACTGTATCGCTGTGACAGAGAAACTAAGTGAGGAGGTGGTTGTATTGTATATGCTTTGGATACCCTAACAACTAATAAAGTTGAAGATATTGTCCTGAATAGTTTACCAGAATCAGTCTAGATATCAGTCAACACCGTGAATCATAGTCTTCTCCTTGGATGTATATACAGAGCTCCTGATAGTTCGAATAATGGGAATGATCTTATTATCAATGCATTCATACATGCATCTTCTCTAAACTTTAATACTAAGGTTATCACTGGGGATTTCAATTATCCTGGGATTAACTGGAGTACCGGTAGTTGTCAGTCATGTAAAGATGAGCTCTCGGCAACCATTAATATGCACTGCTGGTCACAGTGGGTTCGTACCCCAACTAGAGGCGATAGTATACTCGATCTAATATTTAGTAAAGATGTTATCCCACTATCTGTAAAAGTATACGATGAATTTAAAAGCAGTGACCATAAGATAGTAGTTTGCGCTCTCCCTATCTATCTCTCTTATAACCCACCCATTCAAAAAACCTGTCAATATAGAGACTATAAGCATGCTGACTGTATCTCACTCCACAAGTGATATTATAGGCACTTTAAATGTTTAGTCATTTTTATTAGTGCATTCTCTAAATAAAACCACCTACTTGCTGTCGTTTTATGTTAACACCGTCCATAGCAAGTTTAACTAATTTGAATAACATCAACAGTATATCACTATGTCACATGATACACGCATTTAGGTAGACCTGATTCATATATTTGGGTAATTACTGGTTTATTGTTCCGTGTTCCCTGTTTCCATCTTACTTTCTCTAGTTGTAGATAATTATCATTAATTCGATCTGGCACAGGAAATGACCTTAATATTATCACACCGTTCATAAATCAACAGGTTGTGTCCATTTAAGAAATATTAAAAATTCCCGTCTGATACATTGGATCGCTGTATAATACATGTACTACTACCTCAACAATTACTGAACTAGTATACTTAAAACTTACTTCTATCACATGTTTGTTCTGTACATCTAATGTTACTATTTATATCACATTGATCATCCCGCTGTAAACTGACGTGAATTCTGTAATTATTATTATTATCAGGATATATAAATGATTGATCAATGAGTTACTAAGTTCAGATACTCACTGATTCTCATTCACATTATTTATAGCATCCCCATTATGTGTGGATACTCACAATTGAATTGTTGATGAATCTTTAATTCATAATTAGTGAAATTAAAGTAATAATAGTTTATTTCCATGATTATTAATTCTGTTTATCTTTTTTTTATCTTCCTTTTTTTGTTTTGTTTTTATTTTGTAAATCCACAGACTAATCCAGCTGGTTACAGTATTCGCTTTCATTTTAACTTGATGTAAAATTACAAAGTGAGTGCCTACTGTTCATCATTTTTTTTAAAAATTTAGATTGAAAAAAGAAATCCAGAGAAATATACTCTGTATCTATATGTCTCTCTATTTTTTCATGGCTGTCTCCGTCACACTCACACCCACCCCACCCCCCACATATATATATGTAATCACTTGGTGCCAATATATCAATGCATGTGTGTATGAACACTGTGATTAGAATAATCATGCCAACACACACACACACACAATGCATACATACACATACATATACACTGATACACACAAACAAAGGATAAACCAGTTCAAGTTTCAACTTTAGTTACATGTATTTGTTATTGAATTTTAATGTGCTACTTTACTTTTTCATTTTATTTTATATCATTTAATACATTTGTACAGTGTAGTATTCAAGTTTATACTCATTGTGTATATGTAAAAATGTAGTGTGTATCTATCTATGTGTGTAGGTCTTGTATACTTGCATACTCTACTCAATACATGTATGGTATATATTTTGATTGAGAACAATTGTAACCATGATAAAATAAGATTTTGTTTTTAATAATTTTATAAGTAGTATCTATCATTGTTTACATAATACTATCTAATTGTAATTCACTTTTTTTCTCTCTCTCTCTCTCATTTGATAAATTAAAAATGTACACCTTTTTTTTGTTTGTTTGATCTTATGATAATGTTTGAATTTTGTTCTAATTTGTATAATAGAACCAATGAATAATTTGTTCAATGTACAATTTTTCCTTGATAACAATAAAAAAAAGAAGAAAAAATCATTAACACATTGTTGTTGATTTGTGTTACTTTACTCCCTGTTTGTTTGTTTGTTTGTGAATCTATTCGTCTGTATGATTGTGTATTATGTGATTGTGTACTTCTTCTTTTGAGATAGTGGAGAAGATTTGTAGCTCAGGTGGATGATTTTGGTGGAGTTTTGTTCTGTGAGCTGGTTGGTTTGGTCGTGGAGCTTTCATCGTTCTTCTGAACGACATCATCAGTACAAACTTCAAACCATCTAGCTCAAAGAACAAAACTCCACCAAAAACTACTTCTTTTTCACAAGGATTTCTAATGTCAGTCAACAAAATGTTCGCTCATAAAATGTATAAGAATATGACATAATTTTGTTTTTTCTTTATTCAATTATGATCTGTATTCTTTTGTATGTGTGTGTTTATGTCACCCAATCTACATATGCATATTTACGTATAACATTGATTACGTAATAAGGCAACATTGACTAGTAACATATATGTTGTATGGATTTGGTGTTCATCTTGTTGTGCTAATAAGGTAATGGCAAATTGGACCGATTCATATATGTGCCTAGTCCTACGTTGTAACTGACTGACTGTGATACCGGCGTTGATAAAGACCAGTTATCCTTTCCCAAATTTGAACTAATCTAAATATATAAATTAATCTGTCATAATCTTTTTAGATAGCTGAAAGAATATCCGTCGTAAATTATGATTTTTTTCTCTTGAATCAGGTTAAAAACAAGAGAAAAGTTGTTTAATGGAATTGAGGGAAAAACATACCAGAATATGTTTATTTGTTTGTATGTGACGTTCGTTCAGAAACTTTGATGATAACGATTTCTTTTTAAGAGTCGAAGATACTCGTAAGTTGATAGTATTTGATCACAGATGCCTTAGAAATATTACCACCATCTGCCGGGATCACCGGGCAAGTAATAGTGGGGTTAGACGCAGGGTATTAGGGAATAATGGTAGATTAGTTGATGACGTTGTGAATCTTCATCAACTATGATGGTTGGGCCACGTGTTACGTATGCCTGAACACCGATAACCACGACGCGCAATGCTGACTAGTGTAGGGGATGGTTGGAAGAAAGTTAGGAGTGGCCAAACCAAAACGTGGCATCAGTGCTTGAAGTCACTAACTTCTAGTCTGAGCCATGTTGGGAGATGCAGACTACTTGGTTGGGGTCCATGTGACTATCGTAACCAATGGTTGGAGACTCTTCATGACATGGCTCAGAATCGATCACAACGGTGTCGGTGTATACACTATCTGTCTTCCCTTAAACTGAGAGATTAAAATCGCTTCATATCTTTCATTCTACGAACTATTTCTTTCTTCCTGTACTGTGTCCTTATTGCAATCTTTCTTATATATTACCACCTCTGAATTAACTACTTTTATGAATCCGGTGTCCATCTTCTGTTAATGAGGTTGAAAGTGAAGACGGAGGTTGATTATGAATACAGTGGTCTTGAGTGCTGTTAAAGGTATGAGGGCGGTTATCACTTCCCGGTTGCCCACACCATGGAACGGTTGTTCGGGGGGTACCTGAAAAGGGAATTGGATTAGAGGTGGTCTTAGTGACCTGGGAGTGTGACCGCAGTGCCCAAGGGACAACTGCTTGAGGTCGGTCACATACTACCTTCCTGTGAGTGATTTTCGTGTTTGCTCAGTCGTTAAGGCCGACATTAATCCGAATTCCTTTTCAGGTTCCTCAAGAAATACCCTTCCACGGTGTGGACAGCCGGGAAGTGACACCAGCCCTCATACCCGTAACAGCACACGAGACCAAGTTGGTCACATTCAAATTCTTCCTACACCTACTAATAACTCTCTTATCTCCATGACTAACACTCCTCACGTCTCTTTATCACCTCGCAGCGCTAGGGCAAACGATTCGAGTACGTGGAACGCTATTCCTGGTCTCCTGGAACCACGCTCTAAACTACACGTCGGAGCTTTTAACGTCCGAACACTGTGCCAAATAGGACAGCAAGCTTCCTTAGCTAGGACTTCGGTTTGGGCAGCCGACAGTATCACAGCCCTTACCTATATCAAATGAGATCTGTGTGGTGTATATGTATTTGGTGCCTCCTTGTACCAATATCTATGTGTTGAAATAAATAAATACAATGTACACTTAATGGAAATTATTATTAGGTTTGTGCACAAGATGATAACACTAATTGATTGTAATATCAGTAAAACTGAAGATGATGTCGATAGTTTGACTTGTTTATACTCAAATTGGAAAGAAAAATATCTTAACTTGCTACATTAATTATCATTTTCCATTGTACAATTTCAACTAACCGGTATTATTTCACTTGATGTTATATTTACCATGAAGTTCACTAGTTAGAAAGTAGCAAGATTAAAAGTGAATTACATCCTATTTTAGTTCAGTCAATATGTTAGGTAGAGTCAATATATTACGATAGGTAACCAGAGTTTTCAATAATTTTGTTTTGATCATAAATTAGAAATGACACCTCAAAGTACTTTTTTTTTAATTCTCTAATGTAAAGATTACTAGAAAACTGTCGAATCTATTGAAGGAAGAAACTAAAACTAATCACGAGGATCACCAACCATTCAAGTTTGATACAATCACTAATATAATTCAGTGTCTATATTCATCTCTATGACGGAAGGAAATGTCGTTCAATCACATTTGTAATTGTATCAGTTAATCATTGACAGTATTTTGTTTAATAGAAATCCTGTATGTTTCTACAGTCGAATGTTTCTATTATACCATCAACGGATAAGGAGATCAAATCACACCTATCTTTTATAGCATATGCTTTCATGGATTATGATTTCTATTTCAAACCTCGAATGATTTGATGAATATAGTAATGTACCACTGTAACATCTAACTGCATAAGTAAACTTATCTATTTAAGTTAAACAAAATTGTTCATTATAACTAATTTAACCGTCAAAAGATTTTTCATATGAAATAATTCATTGGAATTTCCTATAAAATATCATAGTTTTAATGAGTGATTTAATTGTTATAATGTTAGTGGTGGTGATGGTGGTAAGAAAGATTATTTATAGGAGTTATGACTCGCACAGACTGGCACGGTTAAAACGTTAGGTCCTTCCGAAATGTGCACGCCCTTTCGTCTCAACGACCTTGAACGGCTTGACTAGAGGCGGTCATTCCGTATTTCAATTGCCGTGGGTTGGTTGGATTGCATGAGTATCAAGTTTTTTCATATATAAGTCGTCTTATGCTGTATAAAAAAGCCCGAAATAACTACCAAAAGCATTAATTTAACATTCTCTGTTTTGTAGTGTACAATTTGGCTCTGTTGTTACTTTGTAATTTGATCTGTGATCCCAACAACTGTAGTAAACCTAAACGAAATGTCAAGTCACAGGTAAATCCTAATTATTTGTAGTATTTCTTTGGGTTATTATTGTTGCAAGGAATAACGTTTTTATAATTAATCATCTCTCTTTGTAGTGCTTCATGCTCAAGTGACATTTCAGTCGACCTTAGCGAAGCCTTTCGAAGTATGATACTGAACAAGCGTTTCGCGTTCTGGGATGACTTTGATATCGCCTTAAAAGAGTTCCAAAAAGTGTGGAATAGTAATTTTATCGCTTCTCAGACTACTTATACTTCTTACATTCACACGAAAAGCAGGTTACTAAAGGATGTCAGGTTGAAATACCTGTTTTTAACGTTTAATTGTACGTTTGGTCATAAGCGGAAATCGGAAGGTTTGAAAGTGAAGCAAAAACCGTAAGATCTTTAATTAATATCTGATGTTTAAGGTCCAAATTCCGTAATTGCCAATCTAAATTCCGTGTAAGAGTAGAGGAGCAAGGATATGTCATCAAATCCTACAACATGCTCCACAATCATCCATGTAGTAGTTCATGGATGGTATGTGATCCATGGACAAGGAGATTATCATCAGAAGAAAAAGAGAACTTGAAGCCAGTAATACTGCACTGTGAGTCAGCAGATGAAGTTATTGAAAGTATTAAGGAGAGAACTGGTAAGCAAGTAACCGCTGCCGATATCAAAGGTATGAAAGCTACACTCTCCACTGGTAAGTGTATATAAATATATTTCAGGTTGTTTTACTCGGAAGCAGGTAATGGATATGCTTAGACAGAAAGGCGAAGTGAGGGAACATTTAGAAAATGGATATGCCACTAGAATACGTTTCAGTAGTTATAACCAAATACAACTGTACAGGAAATATCCAGAAGTTTTGTGCATTGATTCTACGTATAATACTAATAATAAAAAGTGAATATGTTTATCGTTGTATTTCACTATGTAGATATTCGTTATTCCAGTTAGTGGTGACGGATAATTGCGGTCGAGGTCGAACTGTAATGTTTGCGTGGACTCGAAGGGAAAAGCGTGCCGATGTGATATGGATTTTAGATCAATTCAAAGAGATAATGGGTAACACAACAATAACAGAAACATTTGTGATGGATTGCGCACGATCTGAATGCGCGGCTGTCCGTATAACACACGGGCATGCAAACATCATTTTGTGCGCCTTTCATGTAATTCGCGCTTTCCAGAAAAAGGTACACCAATGGTTGCTTACATAAAATTTCCGTTAGACAAATGATAAAATACTAAAAACCTACTTGACTCGATTGGTAACTGCAGAAACGGTTGGAAGGTAATCTTAGTAATGTGTTTATTCACTAGATTTAATCAATATTACAGAATAATAAACCGGAGAGACAGAGTGATAGGCCAGTACCTATCACGTTTCTGGATGCCACGTAAAACAATGTGGGCGTGTGCCTTTTACGGCAGTGTTTTAACTTTGGGTAACAACACGAATAATCGTGTTGAGTCACTAAATAGGTAGATAAAAAGATATGTACGCAAAACCGACAGGTTGCACAAATGCATGTACAAGGCTTTGAAGTGGAGTTCAATGACTTTCTCTAGGAAAAGCATTGAAGACCAAATAATCAGTGGAAGAAC